TGTGGCTTCAAGCTGCTTTTCCAGTCCCAGTCCCAGTCTTGTCTTGCTCTTCTGCCTGTCCTCAGCCTGTGCTGGAGCCAAGTTCAGAAGCTCTTTCAAGTTTCATGCAGTAATTGCAGTGTGCTTTCTGTGTAAAGATTTTACCTTCAACAGCTGAAAGGGGTGAACGAGAAGGATGTTATTCTAGTAATTCTGTTAATATTCTATTAATATTCTATTAATATGTGCTGAAGATAAATCAAATTTATTTGGGCTGGGAGGAGGCAGATCCAGCAGTAATTCCAATGTGCTCTCCACTAATTTCTGTAAAGATTTTCCCTTCAACAACTGAAAGGGGTGAACAAGAGGATTGTTATTCTATTAATTTTGTTATATTAATTCTGTTAATATTCTATGAATATGTGCTGAAGATAAATCCAATTTATTTGGGCTGTGAGGAGGCAGATCCAGCAGTAATTCCAATGTGCTCTCCACTAATTTCTGTAAAGATTTTAAAATCTGTAAAGATTTTCCCTTCAACAACTGAAAGGGGTGAGCAAGAAGGATGTTATTCATTCTATTAATATTCTATTAATATTTGCTGGAAATAAATCCCAATTTACTTGGGCAGATCCAGCAGTAGCTCCAATGTGCTTTCCTGTGCAATCTGTCAAGATTTTGCAATCTGTGAAGATCTTTTCAATGTGCAGTCTGTAAAGATTTTACAGTCTGTAAAGATTTTTTTCAATGTGCAATCCATAAAGATTTTCCCTTCAACAGCTGAAAGGGGTGAACAAGAAGTTCCACATCATGTACAGAGCAGACACGTTAATTACTCTGTTAATATGTGCTGGAGATAAATCCAATTTATTTGGGCAGATCCAGCAGTAGTTCCAGTGTGCTTTTCTGTGCAATCTGTCAAGATTTTACAATCTGTCAAGATTTTTTCAGTGTCCCAATCTGTAAAGATTTTGCATTCTGTAAAGATTTTTGCAATGTGCAGTCTGTAAAGATTTTACAGTCTGTAAACATTTTTTCCATGTCCAATCTATAAAGATTTTTGCAATGTCCGGTCTGTAAAGATCTTTTCCATGTCCGATCTGTAAATATTCTACAATCTGAAAAGATTTTTTTCAATGTCCAATCTGTAAAGATTTTACAATCTGTAAAGATTTTTGCAATGTCCAACCTGTAAGGATTTTTCCAGTGTCTAATCTGTAAAGATTTTTCCAGTGTCCAATCTGTAATGATTTTTTCAATGTCCAATCTGTAAAGATTTTGCAATCTGTAAGGATTTTTGCAATGCCCAACCTGTAAGGATTTTTTCATGTCCAATCTGTAAGGATTTTTGCAATGCCCAACCTGTCAGGATTTTTTCATGTCCAATCTGTAAGGATTTTGCAATCTGTAAGGATTTTTTCATGCCCAACCTGTCAGGATTTTTTCATGCCCAATCAGTAAGATTTCCCCCAGCACGTGGGAGGTGTGACAGGGGCACTGAGCCGGGTTTGTGTGTGCTCTGTCCCACTTTGCCTCTGTGTGAAGCTGCAGGCCCTGGGGAAAGGCCCGGCCACGAGCAAGAGCAAGGATGACCTGGTGGTGGCCGAGGTGGAGATCAACGACGTCCCCCTGACGTGCAGGAACCTGCTGACCAGGGGCCAGACCCAGGACGAGGTACGTCCCACACCGTGCCTGGAGAGCCTCCTCGGCCAGGAGTGCTCTCCTGGGAGCCTCAGGGAGCAAGGAAAACACTCTTGTCTCGTGTATTCCTGGGTTTGCTGCTTGGGATGTGGCTTGGAGGTTGGGCATGAGGTAAAAAATTCATGTGTTGGGTGAACCATCGCAGGCAGCTGTGTCACACTGGGGAGAGAGTCAGAGTTTTTCAGGATTGTCTTGTAGTCTTCTGTCTGTGTCCTTTCTCTGTGCTCTAGTGTATTTTAGTATGGCAGTCTTTAATATTATATAATATGATGTGATAAGATGTAGTATAATAATAAACTATACTGCAATATAATATATTATAACATAGTATAAGGTAATACAACATAATGCAACAATACAACATAATACAACATAATACAACAATATAACATAATACAACATAATACAACAATATAACATAATATAACATAATATAATATGATATAATACTATGATATGATATACTGCAATAGGATTATAATATGCTATAATATAATGTACTATAATATAACATACTATTCTATAATAATGTACTATGATATAATATACTATAGTATAATATATTATACTGTAATATACTATTCTATAATATAATATACTATGATATGATATACTACAATATGGCATAATATACTATAATATAATATGTTATGCAATAATATACTATTCTATAATATGCTATAGTACATAATATAATGTAACATATACTGTAATGTAATAGATAATATATTACATAATATATACTATAATATATTATGGTATATGTACTATATAATATAATACATATACTATTATATATTATACTATACCATTATATATACTATATTACATTATATATACAATAATATATACAATAATATACTATAGTATATGTACAATAATGTATTATATAATATATATAAAATTGTATAATACATACTATTATATACTATTATATACTATTGTATACTATTATATACTATTGTATACTATTATATACTATTATATACTATACTATACTATACTATACTATACTATTATATTATATTATATTATATTAATTGGCCTTCTAAGGACATGCAGTCAGATTGATCTTTTCCTCCCCTCACCCAGGGCACCCTGCAAACACCACCCCCAGCAGCTCTGGGCTTACCCAACCCTGGGCACCTTTCACCTTGTCTGGGAGGAGATAAGGTGGAAAAAACCTGCACTGAACTCTGTTCAGGGCTTGTTTCTCTCTAGGAAATTCCTCTTTTCTAAAGGGGTTTGTTGGTTTGCTCAGTCTTTGGTTTGGTTTTTGTATTTTTCAGGCTCTGTGCTGCTTTAGTGGGTGGGTCTGGGTTTCATGTCAGGGCATGGTGAGCTCTGCACAGAGCAGGACACAAAACAATTCCTGCTCCAGCTGGGGACCAGGAACAAATGATCCAAATCTCAGCCCAAGAGCACAGACAGCATGGGCTGGAGAGAGAAAACAACAAAAATGGGACTGCATGGGCTAAAGCTGGAATTAAACAATTAACTCCAATATGCTAATGAACCAAAACTTATACAAAGTGTGAGATCCTGTGAGCAGTTGTCCATTTTTGTGACCATTTTTAATGGATTCGTTTTTAATGGAGCCCATCCTGGCTGGGCTCTTGTGCAGCTCAAGGTGAATCTGTTGAGGCCTTTTAATAAATCCCAGCTTTGTTAATTTGAATTAACTTTGTCCAGCCTCTGTTCTAAATCAGCCTTCACAAGGCATCAGTTTTGACTTCAGAGGCAGCATCAGTCTCCTAGCACTTAATTAATCATTTCTGGGTTTTTTTACAAGAACATTGTTTGAGTTTTGGTGTTCTGTGTGAGCCTTGTTTGTTGTTTGTGGTGGGCAAGTGTTTCACTGGATTTTACATTTTTTCCACTGGATTTTTTCCTTTTTTTTAACTGGGTTTTGTACATTTTTCCACTGGGATTTTGTACATTTTTTCCACTGGATTTTGTACATTTTTTTCACTGGGATTTGTACATTTTTCCACTGGGATTTATACATTTTTCCACTGGATTTTGTACATTTTTTTTCGCTGGGATTTATACATTTTTTCACTGTTTTTTGTCATTTTTTGCAGATCAGTCGTTTGAGTGGAGCAGCTGTCTCCACCCGTGGGAGGTTCATGACTGCAGAAGAGAAAGCCAAAGTGGGACCTGGGTTTGTATTTTTTTTTTTTTGGAGTTTCTGCTTCTTTTCTCCTGAGGTGACAAAGTGCTGGGGTTTCTCTTTGGTTGATTTCCAATAAATTTGCCATTCTGATGGTCCTGGGCTGAAATAACCACCCCAACCATGGCCCTGACAGATCCCACTGTGCTCAGCTTCTCCCCACAGAACCCTGCAATTTCCCAAAAAATACAAATTTCTTGCTGCTTTTAGTTAGTGACCCATTTATGGGCAAGCTAGCTAAAGTTTTCAGTGCAGTAATTTTCCTGAATCCTATTTTCAGTGCAGAGCTTTTCTGCCTGAGCACTGTGATGCTCAAGGAATTTTTATTCTGTTATCTGGGGGGCATTTCAGATTTTTGTGCAAGACTTTCTGCATGCAGTATAATTAGATTGGGGCCATTATTATTGTGGGTTTAATTGAATATTTCACTTTTTCTTTCCAGAGATCGTCCTTTGTATCTTCATGTTCAGGGGCAGACACGGGAGTTGGTTGACAGTGAGTACAAAATATTCTGTTTTTTCTCTCCCTGTATGTGACAAAGGGTTGGATTTGAGTTACAGACACCTTGGTGGTGATAACAGCCTCCATTCAAACACTGAGATCTCTGCTCAGAAATCCCTGAGGTGCTGCATTCATCAGGAAATTCAAATTTGGGGCAGATTGCAAGGAGGGTGGGGGGAGTGGGCAGGTACAGCTCTTATCTCACTGATAACACCCCCAGATCCGTGGGAACAGGGCTGTGACAGGGACACTCCTGCCACAAGGGACCTCAGAGGGGCACCTGTGCCAGGCAAAGGAAAGGAATGGAATGGACTGGAATGGAAAGGGATGGGATGGAATGGAATGGAAAGGAATGGGATGGGATGGAATGGAATGGCATGGGATGGGATGGAAGGGAATGGAATGGAAAGGAAATGGAAAGGAATGGCATGGGATGGGATGGGATGGGATGGAATGGAAAGGGATGGGATGGAATGGGATGGAAAGGAAGGGAATGGAATGGAAGGGAGTGGAATGGAAAGGAAATGGACTGGAATGGGATGGAAAGGAAGGGGATGGGATGGAATGGAAAGGAATGGACTGGAATGGACTGGAATGGAAAGGAAAGGAGGGGAATGGAATGGAATGGGATGGAATGGACTGGAATGGAATGGAAAAGAAAGGAATGGGATGGGATGGAATGGAATGGGATGGGATGGAATGGACTGGAATGGAAAGGAAAGGAGGGGAATGGAATGGAAAGGAAAGGAAAGGAATGGGATGGAATGGAATGGAAAGGAATGGGATGGGATGGGATGGAATGGAATGGAATGGGATGGGATGGAATGGAATGCTGACAGGAGCTGGTGACTCTCAGAGTGCTCGCAGCTGGGCCATGGTTGCTCATTAAGCAGAGCCAATCCCTTGGATCAATGACAGATGCACCTCTTGCATTCCACAGCAGCAGGCAATCACTGCTTTTCTTTTCCTCTGAGCCTTGTCAGCTCCTCAGGAGAAGAACCCTGTGCAAAGAGGGTTCTCCAGAAGATGCCACAGCGAGTTCCTCTGGGCTGCAGAGTGAGAACAGATTTCCTGTTTTCCACCAGGAGCTGTGAACAGAATCAAGGAGATCATCACCAACGGGGTGGTGAAGGCAGCCACGGGCTCCAGCCCCACGTTCAACGGCGCCACGGTCACCGTGTACCACCAGCCAGCCCCCCTGGCCCAGATGAGCCCAGCTGTTGGCCAGAAGCCTGCTTTCCAGTCAGGGGTGAGTGCTGCATTCCCTGATTTACCACCACCACTGCTCGTGAGCTTTGCCTTGTGCAGAGCACACCCGTCGCGTGTCGTTTGTTTAAAAAAAACAACAAAAAAGCTGAAAAAACACCCCAAAAACATCACCCCCAGCTTGTGGTGGTGTGAAACCTGGAGGGCTGACAAGGCTGAGTCTGGAGAGTGAGGCTCAGGTGACAGTGACCTCCTAAAAGAAAAGGGATGGAGAGAGCAGTCCTGCCTGCAGGAAGAGCCCAGGGCTCACTGTGCCATCTGACACCAGGCCCCTGAAATAGTCCAGCTTTCAATTTAATATCTTTATTTAAAATTTGCTTTCATTTATTTTTGATTTATTTACAGATATCATTATGTCCAGGACAAGTCGTTTATTTGGTTGGAACCCTTCTGTCTGTCCTCAGTGAAATATTAATTTTTTTACCTTAATATTTTTATTTAAAATTTGCTTTAATTTTTTAATTTCCACACAGATGCATTATGTGCAGGACAAGTTGTTTGTGGGGCTGGAGCCCTTCTCTCTGTCCTCAGTAAAATATTAAAACTGTTGCTTTAATATTTTCATTTAAAATTTGCTTTAATTAATTTATTTACAGATGCATTATGTCCAGGAGAAGCTGTTTGTGGGGCTGGAACTCTTCTGTCTGTCCTCAGTGAAATATTAAATTTTTTACTTTAATATTTTTATTTAAAATTTGCTTTAATTTATTTTTTATTTATTTACAAATGCATTATGTCCAGGAAAAGTTGTTTATTGGGCTGGAACCCTCCTGTCTGTCCTCAGTGAGATATTTAAGCTTTTGCTTTAATATTTTCATTTAAAATATGCTTTAATTAATTTCCATACAGATGCATTATGTGCAGGACAAGCTGTTTGTGGGGCTGCAACCCTTCTGTCAGTGAAATATTAAATTTTTTCTGTAATATTTTCATTTAAAATTTGCTTTAATTAATTTTTTATTTCTTCACAGATGCATTATGCCCAGAACAAGCTGTTTGTGGGGTGGAGCCCTTCTGTCAGTGAAATATTAAATTTTTTACTTTAATATTTTCATTTACAATTTGCTTTAATTAATTTCCATACAGATGCATTATGTGCAGGACAAGCTGTTTGTGGGGCTGCAACCCTTCTGTCAGTGAAATATTACATTTTTACTTCAATATTTTTATTTAAAATTTGATTTAATTTATTTCTTCACAGATGCATTATGTGCAGGACAAGCTGTTTGTGGGGCTGCAACCCTTCTGTCAGTGAAATATTACATTTTTACTTCAATATTTTTATTTAAAATTTGATTTAATTTATTTCTTCACAGATGCATTATGTGCAGGACAAGCTGTTTGTGGGGCTGGAGCACGCTGTTCCCACGTTCAGTGTGAAGGAGAAGGTGGAGGGGCCTGGCTGCTCCTACCTGCAGCACATCCAGATTGAAACCGGTGCCAAAGTCTTCCTTCGTGGGAAGGGCTCGGGGTGCATCGAGCCAGCCTCAGGCAGAGAAGCCTTTGAACCCATGTACATCTACATCAGGTATGGGGGAGTGGAAAAAAATCATTAGAAATCAATTTAAAAAAAAATCCCGTGAAAATCCATTTAAAATCCCATGAAAAATCAAATTGAAAAAATCCATTTTAAAAAATCAATTTTAAAAAAATCCCGTAAAAATCTAATTAAAAAAAAAAATTAAAATCCCATAAAAATCCATTTTAAAATCCCATAAAAAAATCAAAAATAAAAAGAATCCCATAAAAATCCATATTAAAAAATCCCATTTAAAAATCCATTTAAAAAATCCCATACATTTAAAAAATCTCATAAAAATCCATTTAAAAATAACCATTAAAAATCAATTTAAAAAAAACCATTAAAAATCAATTTAAAAAAATCCATGTTAAAAAATCCCATAAAAATCCATTTAAAAAAAAAATCAATTTTTAAAAAATCCCACCAAAATGCATTTTTAAAAAATTCCCATTAAAAAAAATTTTTTTAAAAAAATCCCATTTCAAAAAAATCCCATAAAAATCCATTTAAAAAATCCCATTAAAAATCCATTTTTTAAAAAAAATCCCATAAAAATCCATTTAAAAAATCCCATTAAAAATCCATTTTTTAAAAAAAATCCCATAAAAATCCATTTAAAAAATCCCATTAAAAATCCATTTTTTAAAAAAAATCCCATAATCCATTTTTAAAAAGAATCCCATAAAAATCCATTTAAAAAATCCCATTAAAAATCCATTTTTTAAAAAAAAGTCCCATAAAAATCCATTTAAAAATCCCATTAAAAATCCATTTTTTTAAAAATAAATCCCATAAAAAATTCAAGGTATAACCATAATGTTGTTAGGGCAAAGAAACATCTCCCAAATTCAACAGAAAGCTTTGTCCTGACGAATTTTTTAATTTTTTTTTAATTTTTTCAGTCACCCAAAGCCAGAAGGTTTGGCAGCTGCTAAAAAGCTCTGTGAGAACCTGTTGCAAACAGTGAGTAACTCTTAAAAATCTGAATTTCCCAGCCTTTTGTAGCTCTGGGATGTGCACTGAGGAATTTTTTATTGTTTTTTTTTAATTAAAAAATTAATTTTTTTATTGTTTTTTAAACAATAAAAATATTTTATTGTTTTCAGCAAAGCTGTTGGTGCTCACAGATTTTTTTCCTCCCAAGGGTTGCTAATTTTTGTACAGAATTTCTCAGGAAGGAGCTGAGAATTTTGGAATTTTAGTGGAAAAAAAATGCAAAATGAGCGGAAGTGGGGCTGAAGATGGAGGAATTTCTGAGTGCAAATAAAATCTGATTTTTGCTGCAGCTTCCTCTGCTTTGATGTCCACTCTGTGCTTTAGGGAAAATCAAGTGATTGGTGTGGCAAAAAATGGAGAAAATCTTTTATTTATATACACAGAGAATCTTTAATTTCTCAGCTTCCTTTTTGTGGATAAAAATCCAATCCTGGAGAATCAGTTAATACAATAATAAGATAATTGAGTTCTAATAAGATAATGGAGTGTGGGCTAGAAAATCTCTTTTGAAAAATATTAGGAAGTTTTTTTGTTCTCTGCATTGAAGTAATTAATGAATTTGCCATTCTCTTCCAATTAAAGATTGTCCCAGAATTTCCAAATCTGCCCGAGGCCAGCAGGAGCAGGGGTGTCCATGGGGTGGTTGTGAGGTTTGGGGTACAGCTGTCCTTGTCCTGCAAGCAGCGTGGTTCTGGGGAATCACATCAGGGTTAATGTTGGGAATTTTTATTTTTAATTTTGATTTTTATTTTTAATTTTTCATTTTTATTTTTAATTTTAATTTTTATCTTTATTGTCTTTCCCATTCTCTCCTTCATACTCTATCCTTCATCTTCTGTCCTTCCTGTTCTATTTTCCCTGTTCTATTTTTCCCATTCTGTCTTTCCCATTCTGTCCTTCATATTTTGTCCTTCATCTTCTGTCCTTCCTATTCTATTTTCCATGTTCTGTTTTTCCCATTCTCTCCTTCATACTCTATCCTTCCTATTCTGTCCTTCATATTCTATTTTTCTTGTTCTATTTTTCCTATTCTATCTTTGCCATTCTATCCTTCCTGTTCTGTTTTTCCTGTTCCTGTTTTTCCCGTTCTGTCTTTCCTATTCTATCCTTCATATTTTATTTTCCCTGTTCTTACTTTTCCTGTTTTTCGTGTTCTATTTTTCCCGTTCTATCTTTCCCATTCTATCCTTCATATTTTATTTTTCCTGTTCTATTTTTCACATTCTATTATCCATGTTCTGCTTTTCCTATTCTATCTTTGCCATTCTGTCCTTCCTGTTCTTACTTTTCCTGTTCTTACTTTTCCTGTTCCTGTTTTTCCTGTTCTATCTTTCCCATTCTATCCTTCATATTTTATTTTTCCTGTTCTATTTTTCATATTCTGTTGTCCATGTTCTATTTTTCCTATTCTATCTTTGCCATTCTATTTTCCCTGTTCCTATTTTCCCTGTTCCTATTTTCCCTGTTCCTATTTTCCCTGTTCTTACTTTTCCTGTTTTTCGTGTTCTGTTTTTCCCATTCTATCCTTCATATTTTATTTTTCCTGTTCTATTTTTCGAATTCTATTATCCATGTTCTATTTTTCCTATTCTATCTTTGCCATTCTATTTTCCCTGTTCCTATTTTTCCTGTTCTTACTTTTCCTGTTCTTACTTTTCCTGTTTTTCGTGTTCTGTTTTTCCCGTTCTATCCTTCATATTTTATTTTTCCTGTTCTATTTTTCACATTCTATTATCCATGTTCTGCTTTTCCTGTTTTTCCCATTCTATCCTTGATACTCTGTCCTTCATATTCCATTAATATTCCATTCCTGTTATTCATATCCTATTCCATATTCATATTATAAACCACGCCTGTCCTCCTGACAGCATTTAGGACATTTTCAGGGCTTGGGGAGTCAATTCCATTTCTGAGGAGCACATCACACTCTGCTGCCCCTGTGTGGGTGCCTGAGTTTAAATTACACCTGGGGATTAGTTGGAGGTGGGAGCACTCTAAATTAAATCCTTCAGTTGTGAATTTTCCTCTAAGTTCTCTCAAATCTGGAGGAACCATTTGTGTGTTCTGCTCCTTTGTATGCATTGAATGAATCATTCACCCAATTTTTTGTGTTTTCTCTGTGATGTGTGCCCAGCAGAGTCCTCTGAGTGCTCCTTTCCTGCCTGCTGCCCCAGTAAAGCCCAGCCTGCCCACTGGAGCCCAGCCCCAGGTGCAGCCCCAGGGCCAGAAGAGACGCTTCACGGAGGAGCTGCCTGACGAGAGAGAGTCAGGACTGCTGGGATACCAGGTGCAATAAAATCAGCAATTTTCCTTCCCTCCCAGGCACTCAGCCGGGCTGTTGCTAGCCCAGGTTCTTGGAGCACTTGTGCAGAGGGCAGTGCTTCTTCCAAAGCTCAGGGCCCACGTTTTGGTGTCTCTGAGTGGATGCGCTGCTCTAAAATTGTGATTTTTTAAACTCATTTCAGTTGCTTTCCTTACCCTCAAAGATGAGTGGTGCATCCACATCACAGACGTGACAAAAGCGTGGGGCTGCTTGGCCTGAAGAGAAATTATTTGGGGCTTTATTGGAATTTTTGGGGTCTTTAGGTGGGCTTTTTGAGGGAGGGAAATGTAATAACTTCTAGTTTTTCCCATTTACCTTGCAGGTTGCACTTGAGAGGATTTCAAGAAGCCTAGTTTAAAAGTTAATTTATTTAGGTAGCTAGATGACTTTTAAGAAAAATAACTTTCAGGTAGTTAGATGATTTTAAGAAAAACAATTTTTAAGTAGTCAGATGATTTTAAGAAAAATAATTTTGAGTTCTTGCCGTTTGCATGTGAGCAGAGGGAGTGTCTGTAAATGTTTCTCTGGTGCTACACCCCTGCCACAGGCAGAGCCCTTAATAAAAGCTTTTTAGAGCTAATTTCAGAATCTCAAGCAGATTCCTGTGCCGTGAGGTCAGCTCAGCAGTCAGAATTAGCTGATTGAGGAGGTCATAGGTGCCCCATGAAGGGAGCAGCTCTTTTTATTGTCCTGAACCACTGCTGAGCTGGAGGAGTTCTCCAGAGTGCTGCTCAGGCCTGTTTCCCACCACTCAGATATTTTTAGGAGAAAGCTGCCCTCAGATAATTTTAGGAGAAAGCTGCCCTCAGATATTTTCTAGGAGAGAAAGCATTTTGTGTAACAGTGGTGCTTAGAGATTCCTTCTGCTAGTTGGCTCTGGAAGGTTGGGTTTCCTAACAGTATCATTAAGGAGCTGTAGCTTTTGTTGTAGTTGTAGATTTGCTAATGCCGTGTGTTTTTCTGCTCATAGCATGGACCCATTCATATGACTAATTTAGGTACAGGCTTCTCCAGTCAGAGCGACATCCAGGGAGCCGCGGCGAAGGCAGCGAGTTCCTCAGGAAAGGAGAGAGAGAGGGACAGGTGAGCGAGGAACCGTGGGCAGGCTCTGCTGCAAGGCTTGTTTCAGATGTGTTTGGTGTTCTCTTGGTGATTGGGGCGTTGCTTGCTTGTGGGTTGGTTTGTTTTCTATTTTGGGTTGGGTTTTTTTAAGGAGAAGGGATGCAAGGGTGACCTTTTGGTGCTGCAGAATGGAAATTGCTTGGTGTCCACTGCTACCTGAGTCGTTGTGTGGGTCTGGTGTTCTGTCACTGTCACACATGGCACTGTCCTGGCCCCAGCACAGACCTCGAGGGCCACCACTTGTTACTGCTTTTGTCTTGGACACTGAGCTGGTGGTAACTCCTTGGATGTGGCCATGCAGCCAGATCCTCACCACTCTAAACATCCATCCCTCCATCATCCGTCATCCATCCATCCATCCATCCATCCATCCATCATCCATCCATCATCCATCCATCATCCATCATCCATCATCCATCATCCATCCATCCATCATCCATCCATCCATCCATCCATCCATCCCGTCCAGTCCATTCCTGTCCCATTTTTAATTAAGAATGTTGGCAGAGGTCAGGCCTTGCAGAGCTCCAGGTAGGAGCCATCAATCACTCCAGGCCACCAGCACAGTCACTGGAAGAATCAATTAATATAAATTTGAACTCCTCAGGCCAAGGTCTGAGTTAGGAATTTGATCTTTATTTCTTTTGACTCTTAACTTAGTTTAACAAATAAAAAATCTTGTTTCAAACAGGCAGTTGATGCCTCCACCAGCTTTTCCTGTCACTGGCATGAAATCAGAATCGGAAGAAAGAAAAGGTGCGGGGTCTTTGCCAGGCAGCCATGGTGAGTGCAGGGGGCAGACACCCCCTCGAGCCCAGCTTCCTTCCCAAGCCCCCTCCTAAGCCCACTTTCCTCTCCCAAGTGCTGCTGGTTTTAACGGTGGCAAAACTGGTGGGGTTTTTTTGGCTGCTCTGCGTTGAAGTGCAGAGCACGTGACGTTGCACTGCTCCAAAAGCACTGGTGCTTGCTGTGGTTATACACACAGGGTGCTTCTCAAAGCTTTAATAAATATCTGTATGAAATGAGGGGAATTTAATTAGCTGAGGAACTAAAAACAGGGAGTTTGACCCATCAGAATGTGCTGGGGCTGTTTGGTATCTTTGCATTGTTACACACAGAGGTGGCTTCTCAAAACTTCAGTAAATATCTGTATGAAATGAGGGGAGTTAATGAAGTGAGGGACTCAAGGCAGGGAGATTGACCCATCAGAATGTGGTGGGGTTGTTTTGTATATTTGCACTGTTACACACACAGTTTGCTTCTCAGTGCTTTAATAAATATTTCTATGAAGTGAGGGGAGTTTAATTCAAGTGAGGGACTCAAGACAGGGAGTTTGACCCATCAGAATGTGGTGGGCTTCTTTTGTGGCTTTGCATTGAGAAGCAACACACAGGGTGCTTCTCAAAGCTTTAATAAATATATGTATGAAATGAGGGGAATTTAATTAGCTGAGGGACTGAAAACAGGGAGATTTGACCCATCAGAATGTGCTGGGGCTGTTTTGTGGCTCTGCATTGTTACACACACAGGTGGCTTCTCTAAGCTTTAATAAATACCTGTATGAAAAAAAGGGGAATTTAATTAGCTGAGGGACTAAAAACAGGGAGATTTGACCCATCAGAATGTGCTGGGGCTGTTTTGTGGCTGTGCATTGTTACACAGGCTGCTTCTCAAAGCTTTAATAAATATTTGTTTGAAATTATAGGAGTTTAATTCAAGTGAGGGACTAAAAACAGGGAGTTCTGACCCATCAGAATATGGTGGGGTTGTCTTGTGGGTCTGCATTGTTACACACACAGGTGGCTTCTCAAAGCTTTAATAAATATCTGTATGAAATGAGGATAATTTGATTCAATGAGGGACTCAAGGCAGGGAGTTGGACCCATCAGAATGTGCTGGGGCTGTTTTGTGGCTTTTCATTGTTTCACACACAGGGTGCTTCTCAAAGGTTTAATAAATATTTCTATTAAATAATGGGAATTGAATTAGCTGAGGGACTAAACCCAGGGAGTTTGGCCCATCAGAATGTGCTGGGGCTGTTTTGTGGCTGTGCATTGTTTCACACACAGGGTGCTTCTCAAAGGTTTAATAAATATTTCTATTAAATAATGGGAATTGAATTAGCTGAGGGACTAAACCCAGGGAGTTTGGCCCATCAGAATGTGCTGGGGCTGTTCTGTGGCTGTGCATTGTTTCACACACAGGGTGCTTCTCAAAGGTTTAATAAATATTTCTATTAAATAATGGAATTTAATTAGCTGAGGGACTAAACCCAGGGAGTTTGGCCCATCAGAATGTGCTGGGGCTGTTCTGTGGCTTTTCATTGTTACACACACAGGTTGCTTCTCAAAACTTTAGTAAATATTTGTATTAAATAATGGAATTTAATTATCTGAGGGACTAAACCCAGGGAGTTTGGCCCATCAGAATGTGCTGGGGCTGTTCTGTGGCTGTGCATTGTTTCACACACAGGTTGCTTCTCAAAGGTTTAATAAATATTTGTATTAAATAATGGGAATTTAATTAGCTGAGGGACTAAACCCAGGGAGTTTGGCCCATCAGAATGTGCTGGGGCTGTTCTGTGGCTGTGCATTGTGAGCAGAGGCCCTGAGGAGCGTGGGGGAATTCTGCTCAGCTGGGGATTTACAACATTTCTGCCTGCAGACAGCACCAGTGCTGCCAGGATTTCATCTTTCCTGTCACTCAGCAAGGCTTGGAGCTTGTCAGGCTTGGTTTGTGCAGGCAGCTGAGTGCTTGCAGCTCTGCAGGGACATCACCCAGCCTGGTGAACCTTAGCTCTTCTGCATCTGGCTCGCAGACATTGCTCTCCTGTTAGCTTCCTTTTGAGCAAAATTTCTACTTTTCTTTACGTGTTGATCTCTTGAATTGCCCTCCCTGAGAGCCATTTGCTAACTTGACCTTTTCTGTGTGTTTCTTTCTTGTTTCTGTGTTCTCTTACATGGTTCTGGTGGATCACATGGCTGTTGCTGCTGCTGTTTCCTGTGGCCTTCGACCTTGGATGACCATTGGCCTTGTGACCTCAAAATGGTGTCCAACTAACAATTTACAATTAACATCTTTTTTTTTTTTATTATTATTATTATTAACTCGTTTTTGGGGCGTTTTATCTCTTTTTATTCGTTTTGGTTTTATTTTTTTTTTTCCTTCTTGGGGGGTGGTGCTGCGGGGGTCTCGTTTTGTTTTCCCCTCCTAGATCATCAAGCCAAGAAGATGAAAACTGCAGAGAAGGGCTTTGGATTAGTGGCTTACGCTGGAGATTCTTCAGATGAAGAGGAGGAACACGGTGGCCATAAAAATGCAAGTACTTTTTCACAGGGCTGGAGTTTGGGGTACCAGTACCCATCCTCTCAACAGCGAGCTAAACAGCAGATGCCTTTCTGGATGGCACCATGAAAAACCTGCACAAAAGTTCCCACCCATCTGGTTTTTCCCCCCTCTAGCAATAATGCATGTATATTCCAGAACGAACTTGGCAAAGAGGAGTTGTTTTTACATTTGCAGAAGCCAATTTTTCCCCTTGGAAGGGCTCTGTTGTTTTTTAAAAATCCTCACTCTGGCAGCGTATTTGTCCGTTTTTAAAAAGGAGTGTTTGGAGCAGCTGCTGGTCCCTTGTGCAAGGGGGAAGTGCTGTCAAGAGGAGCCAGGGAAGCCTCTTGGGCCATATTTTCCATTTCTCCCAGATAACATAAAGGGAAGAGTCAGTGACACTGACTTCACTCCGCATTTGCATTTTTGGGGTGCTCCTGCTGTCAGCCCCAGTGATCTGCTGGTGACTCAGCCTCAGTTTTGGGCTTTGACCAGAGGAAGGAACATCCAGCAGCCATGACAAACTTGAGCATCACGTTTGGAAAGCTTGGTTTTATTTCCAACGTCTGTCACTGGGCTTGGTTTGATTCTGAGGTGTGATTTTACCAGTGCCACGAGTTCCCATTCTGGCCAGATGTTGGGCTGGCTGCATTCTCTGCAGATGTTTTGGCACTGCAGCCCAAGTGCTGAACTGTTTTCCATCTCCCAGAACTCGGAATCAGCAGCAATTCCTTTTCCAGAGGCTCACCCCCATCTCTTCCCTCACTCGTGGATCCCACCAGAGCCAGAAGCTTCCACGGTGGTTTCCCCCAGGAAACCTCACCTGCAGAACCTGGGAATGAGTTTTTGGGCTGCTTTTGGACTGTTTTGGACACAAACTGCTCCGGGGGCTGGTTCAGCCAGAGGCAGTGACACAGGGACAGGTTTTGGGACAGGAGATTTTCTTTTGAGAAGGGGCTGTGTCCCTGCTGTCCTCAGCTCTGCAAACTCTGCTTCCCCACGTGCTGTAAATAATTGGAACCATCCTTTCATTATAAATAAATGTATAAATATTCTGCTTCCTGCTGCTGCTCTGGGGCCTGTGCCGAAAGTGTGGGGGGGATGCAGGGCTGGGGGTCCCCGAGGACTGGGGGGATCCCCGAGGTTTGGGGTCTGGTAAGGGTGGGGGGATCCAGAGTTGGGGGTCCCCGAGGATTGGGGGAGGTGCCAGGCTGGGAGGGGGGGTTCGGACTGGGGGGGACCCGAGGGGCTGAGGGGACCTGGGGCTGGGGAGGGGGTGCGGCTCCGGGGGGCAGTGCCTGTCCCGTTGTGTCCGTGTCGTGTCCCGCTGAGTCCTTAGCGTGTCCCGCTATGTCCCATTGTGTCCCTATCGTGTCCCCGTCCCGTCCCGCGCGGTCCCGTCCCGTTCCCTTGTGTCCCCTCCGCGCCGCCGTCGTGGCGCTGCCCGCGCAGGCGCGCTGGCCGGGGCGGGCAGTGGGGCGGAGGCGCCGCCGCCATTTCGGAGCGGCCGCGGGGCAGCGCTGAGGGGCGGCCATGGAGCCCGCAGCCCGCCCGGGCGGCGGCGGCGGCGCCGCGGGGCAGTCCCGCGAGTACAAACTCGTGATGCTGGGCGCGGGAGGCGTCGGCAAGAGCGGTGAGTGCGGGGCTGCGGCCGCCGCCGGCCCCGGCATCCCGCGGGGCCGGGGGGAGCCGCGGGCCGTGACCAGAGCCGCGTTCTGAGGGCGGCGCCGCCGCTGCCGGGCTGTCCCGACCCTCCCGGGCTGTCCCTGCCCATCCCGGGCTGTCCCGACCCTCCCGGGCTGTCCCGACCCTCCCGGGCTGTCCCTGCCCATCCCGGGCTGTCCCGACCCTCCCGGGGTGTCCCGACCCTCCCGGGGTGTCCTGACCCCTCCTGGGGTGTCCCCGTGGGGCTGTCCCGACCTCTCCCCGACCCTCCCGGGCTGTCCCGGCCCCCCTTGGGCCATCACGGCTGCTCCATCCCGGGCTGTCCCGGCCCCTCCCGGGCTGTCCCGGTCATCCCCTTCCGCCTCCGGCCGCGTCCCGCAGCCCGTCCCGCCTGAGGCCACGGGCGCGGGCCGTGACCAGAGCCGCGTTCTGAGGGCGGCGCCGCCGCTGCCGGGCTGTCCCGACCCTCCCGGGCTGTCCCTGCCCATCCCGGGCTGTCCCGACCCTCCCGGGGTGTCCTGACCCCTCCTGGGGTGTCCCCGTGGGGCTGTCCCGACCTCTCCCCGACCCTCCCGGGCTGTCCCGGCCCCCCTTGGGCCATCACGGCTGCTCCATCCCGGGCTGTCCCTGCCCCTCCCGGGCTGTCCCTGCCTCTCCCGGGCTGTCCCTGCCCCTCCCGGGCTGTCCCTGCTCCATCCCGGGCTGTCCCGGCCCCTCCCGGGCTGTCCCGGTCATCCCCTTCCGCCTCCGGCCGCGTCCCGCAGCCCGTCCCGCCCGAGGCCACGGGCGGAGCATCCCCGGGCCGGTGGCAGCCCCGCCTTTGCTTTGGTTTGGTTTGGTGTGCTCGGTTTGCTTTGCTCGGTTTGCTTTGGTTTAGTTTGCTTTGCTCGGTTTGCTTTGGTTTAGTTTGCTTTGCTCTGTTTGGTTTGCTTTGCTTTCCTGCGTTTGCTTTGCTCGGTTTGGTTTGCTTTCCTGCGTTTGCTTTGCTGGGTTTGGTTTGGTTTGCTCGGTTTGCTTTGCCTTGCTTTTCTCGGTTTGGTTTGCTTTGCTTGGTTTGCTGGGTTCGGTTTGGTTTGCTCGGTTAGCTTTGCTCGGTTTGCCTTGCTTTGCTGGGTTTGCTTTGCCTTGCTTTGCTCCGTTCGGTTTGCTGTGCTGGGTTTGCTTTGCTGGGTTTGCTTTGCTCTTTTGGTTTGTCTTGCTTTGCTCCGTTCGGTTTGCTTTGCTCGGTTTGATTTGCTCGGTTTGCTTTGGTTTAGTTTGCTTTGCTCGGTTTGGTTTGCTCGGTTTGGTTTGCTTTGCTTTCCTGCGTTTGCTTTGCTCGGTTTGGTTTGCTTTCCTGCGTTTGCTTTGCTGGGTTTGGTTTGGTTTGCTCGGTTTGCTTTGCCTTGCTTTTCTCGGTTTGGTTTGCTTTGCTTGGTTTGCTGGGTTTGGTTTGGTTTGCTCGGTTAGCTTTGCTCGGTTTGCCTTGCTTTGCTGGGTTTGCTTTGCCTTGCTTTGCTCGGTTCGGTTTGCTGTGCTCGGTTTGCTTTGCTCTTTTGCTTTGCCTTGCTTTGCTCCGTTCGGTTTGCTTTGTTCGGTTTGCTCGGTTTGCTTTGCTCGGTTTGCCTTGCTTTGCTGGGTTTGCCCTGCCGGGTTTGCTGGGTTTGTCCTGCTGGGTTTGCTGGGTTTGCTCGGTTTTCTGGGTTTGCCCTGCCGGGTTTGCCCTGCCGGGTTTGCTGGGTTTGCCCGGTTGCCGGGTTTGCCCTGCCGGGTTTGCTCGGTTTTCTGGGTTTGCCCTGCTGGGTTTGCTGGGTTTGCTCGATTTTCTGGGTTTGCCCTGCCGGGTTTGCCCTGCCGGGTTTGCCCGGTTGCCGTGGCTCGGGGTTCGGTTTGCTGTGCTCGGTTTGCTTTGCTCTTTTGCTTTGCCTTGCTTTGCTCCGTTCGGTTTGCTTTGTTCGGTTTGCTCGGTTTGCTTTGCTCGGTTTGCCTTGCTTTGCTGGGTTTGCCCTGCCGGGTTTGCTGAGTTTGCCCTGCTGGGTTTGCTCGGTTTTCTGGGTTTGCCCTGCCGGGTTTGCTGGGTTTGTTTTGCCGGGTTTGCCTTGCTGGGTTTGCCCTGCCGGGTTTGCCCTGCCTGGTTTGCCGGGTTTTCCCTGCCGGGTTTGCCCGGTTGCCGTGGCTCGGGCTCGCTGCTGTCCGGGTTTCTGGGGCCGAGCGCTCAGCTGCTGCCCGCTTTGTGCCTCCAGCCATGACCATGCAGTTCATCAGCCACCGCTTCCCGGAGGACCACGACCCCACCATCGGTGAGGAAAAGCTCTTTTCATTCCTTCCTTCATTCCCTGGGCACGTGAAGCTCTTAAAGCCCGTTGCTTCAAAGGATCCAGTGCAGAGATATCCGTAAATCTGGCAGGAGATGGATCTTTGGTCCCTCAGCGGCAGGTCAGGGCTGGCCAGCAGTGCCGAGCCCCGCAGGGCTGGGCCAGCTCTGCACCCTCAGCACCGCAGGGACAGCAGCTCCTGCAGGGTGACAAAGATGCTGCAGGGCCTGGAGGGTCCCTGCCCAGGACAGGCTGAGGGAGCTGGGGGGGACCAGCCCTGGGAACCGGGGGGCTCTGGGGGTCCATGAGTGAGTCTGGGGGTCCCTGGGTGTTCCTGTCTGTTCCTGAGGGTCCCTGGGGGGGGTCTGAGTGAGTCTGGGGGGCTCTCAGTGTCCCTGTTTGTCCATGAGTGTCTGTGGGTGTCCCTGGGTGTTCCTGGGTGTCCATGAGTGTCTCTGGGGGTCCCAGTCTGTCCCCAGGTGTCCCAGTGTCTGTCCCCAGTCTGTCTGTTCCTGGGGGTCCCTGGGGGGCTCTGAGGGTCCCTGGGGGGGTCTCTGGGTGTCCCTGGCTGTTCCTGTCTGTCTCTGAGCATCCCCAGGTGTCCCTGTGTGTGTCCCCAGTGTGTCCCAGCTCTGCCCAGAACAAAGAACAAAATGTTCTTCCTCTGTGTTTGACCAAAATGAGTTTCTGGGCTGTGGGCACAGGAACAGCACATGGCTTTTAAATCACGCCAGAACAATCAGAAATTGAACTTGATTTAATTGAAATCAATCTCAGACTGAGGTACTCCAGTGCTCCTAGCAGGCTGGGTGGTTCTGGGCTAGCATTTCCTTTGTGAGCTGATGAGTTTTGTGCTTGTATCCCAATTTTTTGGGGCTGCAGAGGATGCCTATAAAATCCGGATCCGCATCGACGACGAGCCTGCCAACCTGGATATTTTGGACACAGCAGGACAGGTATGAGCATCCCAGGAGAACTGAGAGCAGCTGGCATGACCAGGTGCAGAAATCCTGCACAAAGAATGCTTGGCTTGGGTTGGTTTGGTTTGGTTTTATTGCAGATTCAGGGCTTGAGCCAGCAGCACCTCAGGAAAATCACCAAAATCATAAAAAATAGGAAATATCTACAAGCTAGACTTCCTTCTCTTTCTGTAATTCCAGGAAACTAACTTCTTGTTGTCATCAGCTTTAAAAAGTGGTTTTTCAGCATTCAAAAAACACTCCTCAATTTACCTGTTCCAATAAAAGAGAATCAATTTTTACACCTACAAAAATAACAAATTATAATTACAACCAGAACAAGACTGCTAACTATAAAACCCAAAACTTTGCTCTCAGAGAAGCCAGCACACCTGAGACAGCCCAGCTCCCCAGATGGCACAAAATGAGCAGGATGGCTTCTGAGGCAGTGCTGGAAACAGAAAAAGGTTTAATAAAGATAAAATAACAAAGTTCTTACAGAGAAAAACCGAGCTAGGGGAAAGAGGTCCTTGCTCCTGCTGAAACACCCCACAAAAGGGATTATTTCATTTGTTCTCTTATTTTTCTAGTGAATTACTGTCTGACAAATTACCCAGGCTGGACCTCTTGGCCTCTGTCTGATCAGGCAGCCCCAGGCCTGAGGTGAAGTCCCAAAGGCCCTATGAGGTGTCTTTGTACCAAACTGGGAGAGAAACTTCTGGGCTTTTTGCCTTTTTAAGCAGACACAGAATAATTTGGTCACTCCATCAACAGGGAGCACATTCCTACAATTCCATTTGTAATTGAAAATTTGAACTAAAACACCACTGGAACCATATGGAAATAAAATTCCACTGGATCTGCATGGAGCCACAATGGCACTTTGTGTCTGCAGGCAGAGTTCACAGCACAAAACACCCCACAAAAGGGATTATTTCCTTTATTATCTTCTTTTTCTGGTGAGTTACCCAGGCTGGACCTCTTGGTCTCTGTCTAGTCGAGCATCCCCAGGTCTGAGGTGAAGTTCCAGAGGTCCTATGAGGTGTCTTTTTATCAGATTGGGAGAGGAATATTGGGCTTTTTGCTTTCTTAAGCAAAGAATAATGGAAGTCACTCCATCAGTAGGGGAGCACATCCCTACAATTCAATTTATAATTGAACATTTGAACTAAAACACCCCTGGAAGTGCATGGAACTAAAACACCCCTGGAACTGCATGGAGCCACAATGGCACTTTGTGTCTGCAGGCAGAGTTCACAGCCATGAGGGACCAGTACATGAGGGCAGGAGAAGGTTTCATCATCTGCTACTCCATCACGGACCGGCGCAGCTTCTACGAGGTGCGCGAGTTCAAGCAGCTCATCTACCGCGTGCGCCGCACCGACGACACCCCCGTGGTGCTGGTGGGCAACAAGTCTGACCTGAGCCAGCTGCGCCAGGTGAGCCCCGGGAGCCTCCCTGGCTCTGCTCTTGGGAGGGGCCGTGGGGCAGGAGGGGTTGGTGGTTTCCCTCTTGTTTTGGTGGTTTGGTGTTTCCGTGCCGGGAGCGGCCATGGTTTCACCGTGAAGGAATGGTGCCTGTAGCAGTCACAGCAACAAAGTCTGTTCCTTGTTGGGACCATGGCTACTGAGAATTTCAGACCTCCTGTGCTGCCAGAACAAGAGAACACTGCATTTGACCTGAAGCCTTCCAAAATTGATTAATAAACCTGAGATTAGGGATGTGCATTTTGACTAGAAGTGTGGAACATCACAGTAAAGAATTCAGAGTTTAAGAGAGACAAAGTCTGTTGAAACCCTGGTTACTGAGGATTTTAAACTTTCTGTACATAAAGGCACTGACCCACAAGAGAGTGCTGTGTTTGACCTGAGGCTGTGGAGAAAGTTTCCAAAATGGATTAATAAAACTGAGATTAGGAGTGTGCAGTGTGAATAGAAGTGTGTAATATCACACGGTAAAGAACTTAGTTTAACACAAACAAGAGAAATGAAGAGAATCTCTGTGCTGACAGAACAAGAGAAAACTGCATTTGACCTGAAGCCTTCCAAAATGGAATGGTAGAACTGTAGTTTGAATAGAAGTGTGTATGATCACACAGTAAAGAACTCAAGAGTTTGAGAGAAACAAAGTCTGCTGGAACCCTGAGCAGGGTGTGCACTCATGGAACCCTGAGGCTGTGCACTCATTTTCCAGGTGTCCGAGGAGGAAGGCTCTGCCTGAGCACAGGAAACCTTTGGAGCTGGGTGGAAATGGAGCAGAGGGACAAAGAGAAATGAAGAGAATCTCTGTGCTGACAGAACAAGAGAAAACTGCATTTGACCTGAAGCCTTCCAAAATGGAATGGTAGAACTGTAGTTTGAATAGAAGTGTGTATGATCACACAGTAAAGAACTCAGAGTTTAAGTTTGAGAGAAACAAAGTCTGCTGGAACCCTGAGCAGGGTGTGCACTCATGGAACCCTGAGGCTGTGCACTCATTTCCAGGTGTCCAGGGAGGAAGGCTCTGCCTGAGCACAGGAAACCTTTGGGGCTGGGTGGAAACGTTCTCTGTTAGGGCTTGGAGTGTCCATACAGAGGGACAGAGAGTAAAACAGGGAGAGGAGAAGGAATAAACTCCTGGGGTTGGGCTTCCAGGGTGTGCACTCATTTCCAGGTGTCCAGGGAGGAAGGATCTCTCTTAGCACGGGTGGAATCAATCCTCTGGAAACCTTTGGGGCTGGGTGGAAGTGGAGCAGAGGGACAGAGAGCAAAACAGGGAAAGGGGAAGGAATAAACTCCTGGGGTTTGGCTTCCCTGATCAAGTTGTGCACTCATTGTCCAGGTGTCCAAGGAGGAAGGGGAGGGAGGCTCTGCCTGAGCAGGGGTGGAATCAATCCTCGGGAAACCTTTGGGGCTGGGTGGAAATGGAGCAGAGGGACAGAGAGCAAAACAGGGAGAGGCAAAGGAATAAACTCCTGGGCTTTGGCTTCCAGGGTGTGCAGTCCTTTCCAGGTGTCCAGGGAGGAAGGGGAGGGAGGCTCTGCCTGAGCAGGGGAAACCTTCGGGGCCGGGTGGAAACGATCCGTGCTTGGAGCAGAGGGACAGAGAGCAAACCAGGGAAAGGAGAAATGAACTCCTGGGCTTTGGCTTCCAGCTCTGGGGCTTGAGCAGGCTGTGCACTCGTTGCCAGGTGTCCAAGGAGGAAGGCTGTGCCCTGGCCAGGGAGTTCAGCTGCCCCTTCTTCGAGACGTCGGCCGCCTTCCGCTTCTTCATCGACGACGTGTTCCACGCGCTGGTGCGCGAGATCCGCCGCAAGGAGAGGGAGGCCGTGGTGGCCCTGGAGAGGAAATCCAAGCCCAAAAGCAGCGTCTGGAAAAGACTCAAGTCCCCCTTCAGGAGGAAGAAGGATTCAGTCACTTGAAGAGGAAATTGCTCTGCAGATCAGGACAAAAGCTGTGACCTTTGGTGGCACCTGAGGGGCTGGGTGACACTGAGGGGGCTCCGGGGGGCACTGCCTGGCCCTGCCGGTTGTTTTTGTTCAGAACCATGTTGCCTTGATTCTGGGGGTTGAACTTCACCCCCAGTGACAGTTGTGCTTTGTTTGTTGTCATTTTTTTACTGCCCCCAGCCACCGAGGCCCCTGGGTCGGTGGCCCTGCACTTTGGAGCGTTTGTCCTTGTCACGGCAACCCGGGAGCTGAACTGTGCAAAACATTGCTGGGGTTGGAGCCAGCCTCACTGAATCTGTGCTTTTCCCAGCTGGAAAAGAGCATTTTGCTGCTCAGCCCACAGTGTGAGAGGCTGAACAAAGTGTCATGGCCTTGGGGTCCCAGAATTTCTCGTGCCCTCGTGATTTCTTTCCAGGAAAACGGACGTGGAATCCTCGTGTGCAAGTCCATCCAAGTGATCAGTGCTGCAGACAAGGCAGAATCACAGATTCCACCTGGAAGATTCCACTGGGGTCAGTGCCCCAGGCTGCCACCCAGAGCACTCAGTGCCACGGTGACTCTGAGCATCCCCTTCCTTCCAATGCCACCCAGCAGTGCAGGGACACCAGAGTGGGATTCCTGCTGCAGGCAGCCCTGGAGAGGGGTGTGCTGCACAAAGCCCAGCTTGGAGCTCCTGCCTTGCCCCAAATCCTGCTGGGAACGGGGCCCTGCCTTCCTCAGCCCCTTCTGGGCCATCCTGGGGCAGCAGTGACTTTGGGGAGGTGTTCCCAGGGAAAATTGCTGATCCTGAGGCTCTGGACCCAGCAGCTCCTGAGCTCACCTGGGCAGGTGAGCCAGGCTCCTTGTGATGCTCCTGAAAAAGAATTCATTGGTGAGGCAGATCCTCCCCACGGGGGGACTCTGTGCCCTGGGGCTGATTGCATTTTCTGGATTTTCCAGCACTTTTGGGAGCAGTGCCTGGAGCTCCTCAGGATTTTGCTGTTCAAGATCCCAGCTGGCTCACTCAGACCTGCTTAAAATTCATTTCTCTGAGCCAAATTCAGAGAAAAATTCCAGCAAATTTCTCTGAGATCCTTCAGGGTGAATGAGCTGATCAGACTGAAGGGATCCTCCTGATCCCTGTCAGGTCTGTGCTGCTCTGCCAGTGCCCCCAGACTGAAAATCCAGGTGTGAAAGGGCTGGTAAAGGAAGTGAGGATTAAAAAAATCTATAAAATATATATATATATGTAAAAAAACCTCCTTGTTACCTAAGATAGGGCTGGAAATCCTGTGCCTGTCGGTTTGAAGAATATTTCCTTTGTGAAAAACTTCAACAAAAGAGAAGTGTGGCATTTTATATTTGCTTTGTGATGAGCTGAACCTTTAAATTGCTTTCCATTTCATCTCCTGCCAGTGCCACGCTGCTCTGGCAGCAATCCCAGACTCCAAAAAATGCCTTGGAAAATTCAGATTGAAGCAAAAAAATGACTGAGGAGAATTCAGATTGTTCAGAATTCCAGACTCTTCCTGAGCAGCCATCACTGATGTTCTCATTTTTGGATGAAAAGCTGCCTAAAACTCAGATAAAACTCTGCTAAAACTCAGATAAAACTGCTAAAACTCAGATAAAACTCTGCTAAAACTCAAATAAAACTCTGCTAAAACTCAGATAAAAGGCCAAAACCTGCAGGAAGAGGAGGAGGAATGAGCTGAGCAGAGGCTCTGAGGCATTTTTGGGTCTGTCAGCTTCAGATCCAGGCCCTGATGCTGATGTTGAATTTTCCAGTTCTTTTCCTTAAAATCCCATCAGCTAAAGGAGCCTGGCAGGGGAAAATAAAACCATTTCCACCCCTAAAAAATGGAATTTTGTGCCTTGCCCGAGTCCTGCAGTGCAGTTTAGGTGTTTACTAATTCCTGTTGCTTCTAGAATTCACAGAGCAGAAGAGCAGCCAGCACTTTTTTGGTTTTGTTTTGGGTTTTTTTGGTGGTTTGTTTTTTTTTTTTTACACAGTGTTATTCTAAGAGTTTTATTTTTTGTCTTGTATAAATTTGTACACAGAACGATGGTTTTATTTGACACAATAAATATAATTTGGAATACAAAGCTTTGCTTTGGATGTCTCAGTCTGTGGTGGGGGTGCTGAGGGAGGAAAGTTCGTTGTGAATTTGGGGAAAAAAATGGCATTTAAGTGATTCAAAGCCTAAAAATTCAGTGAGTCTGGTGCTAATTTGTTGAAATGTGAACATTTTCCACCTTTTCTTGCTTTTCTTTGTGGTGATTTTCCAAGGAGGGCAGGAGGAGCCTTTTTCTGACCCAGAAATGGGGCAATTTCAAAAACTTTTATTCTATTTTTAATCTCCTGGGATGGGTGAGACAAAATATAATAACATATTATAAAAATATGAACAATTATAAATACATAAATATAAAATTATAAATAGCAAATGAAATAGAAATTAAATATTTTTATATTTTAAAATATTTTTTCTATTTTATAAAAATATTTTTTAAAAAATATAATAAATTTATTTCTTAAATTTCTGTTCCTCAGGAATTTTTTCAGAACCCAAATGCAGCTGGGTGAGGGTGGAAAAAGGGAGGGGGCACCTCGAGGGTTTGGGGCTCCAAAAGACTAATTAAAAAAAAACCCCAAACATTTATTTAAAGAACTGTAGGGATCTGTGGGGTGGGATGGATCTGTGGGGCAGAGGGAATCTATGGGGCACGATCTGTGGGTCAGGATCTATGGGGAAGGATTGATGGATCTGTGGGGCACAGGGGATCTATGGGGCAGGATCTGTGGGGCAGAAGGGATCTGTGGGGCAGAAGGGATCTATGGGTCAGGATTTCAGGATCTATAGGGCAGAATTTCAGGATCTATAGGGCAGGATTTCAGAATCTATGGGGCAGAAGGGATCTATAGGGCAGGATTTCAGAATCTATGGGGCAGAAGGGATCTATGGGGCAGGATTTCAGGATCTATGGGGCAGGATTTCAGGATCTATGGGGCAGGATTTCAGGATCTATGGGGCAGGATTTCAGGATCTATGGGGCAGGATTTCAGAATCTATGGGGCACAAGGGATCTATAGGGCAGGATTTCAGAATCTATGGGGCAGAAGGGATCTATGGGGCAGAAGGGATCTATGGGGCAGAAGGGATCTATGGGGCAGGATTTCAGGATCTATAGGGCAGGATTTCAGAATCTATGGGGCAGAAGGGAGCTATGGGGCAGGATGTCAGAATCTATGGGGCGGGATTTCAGATTCTATGGGGCAGGATTTCAGGATCTATGGGGCAGAAGGGATCTATGGGGCAGGATTTCAGGATCTCTGGGGCAGGATTTCAGAATCTATGGGCAGAAGGGATCTCTGGGGCAGGATTTCAGGATCTATGGGGCAGAAAGCTCTGAATGCAGAACCTGAGAATGAAATGGAGATGGAACTTTTGCTACAGAAGAAACTTTCTTGTCAAATTTCATCCCTCCCCACAGTGGGAAGAGAGCCGGGGCTGAGCTTCCACGCCCTCCACGAAACCATTTCTCTTTTCATGCCTTGTGAACCCATTCTGTTCACGCTTTTTTCTTTCTTTTTTTTCCCCCTCTTTTTATGATGCAAATCCTTTTGTTTCTGGCCGGCTGAATGGGGTAAGAACCTGAAACGCGCGGGTTTTGAAAGGCTGGATGCAGGAGTCCAGCAGAGAAGGGTGGAGAGAGATTCCCTTTCACATTTCCCTTTCACATTTCCCTTTCACGTTTCCCTTTCACGTTTCCCTTTCACGTTTCCCTTTCACATTCTGCCCCAGAAGTAGCAGATAATCAGCGATTGAACAGTTTCAGCCAACCGCTCAATAACTCTGATTATTTCCCTGATAAACTCATTATATGTGTTTATAAATCACTGAAAGGGACGGAGCATCCTGAAACGTGGAAATGAAGGGGAAATAGCAGCGTTAAATAAACGTCTGCCCAAAAAAATCCCACACTGGTTGGGGTGGGAAGGGCTTAAGTGAAAAATAAAGCAAGGTTTAAGTAAAAAATAAAGCAAGGCTTAAGTGGGAAGTGTTAGCCCAGAATTCTGGAATGGTTTAGGTTGAAATGGACCTGGAAACTCGTCCAGCCTCACCTCGCAGCAGCCCAGGTGGCTCCGAGCGGCTCCAGCCTGGCCTGGGCACTGCCGGGGGTCCGGGGGTGAATTCTCCGTGCCGGGGCCTCCAGGGGGGAATTCCTGCCCCAAACCCCTCCTGCAGCCCCTGGCTGTCAGCGTGCAGCTGCTCCCCGTGTCCTGGCACTGCGGTTTTTATAAATAAAATATAAATAATCTCTCTCCATCCTCCATCCTCCTGGCCGGCTCCTTCAGCACGCTCACACGAGCTCACCCCGAGCCCCTCTCCCTTCCAGAGCTGCTTCCATTTCATGTCTCACGTGCATTTCAGGGTTCTGTTGCACTTTGTGCTGTTGGGAATTAAATGCACTTTTCCAGCAGGAATGCAGATTTGTGGGAGCAAACCCTCGGCGTCACACACGGCACAGGCAGCCAGATTAAAGTGATTTAATTTTTATTTGCACGCTCAATGTGCATTAACAAATTCAACATACAAGGTAGCATTACAGAATGTAGGTTAGCTTATAGCATTATGCAGTTTCACACAGGTTGAGTTAGGTTTTTTTGCCTTTTATTCTTTTTATTTTTTTTGTTATTATTATTTTTTTCCACACAAAGTTGTAACTGTCCAAGTTCATTTTACAATAGAAGACACAAGGTAAAGAATAACCACACCTGGGAGATTTTACAGTGAGTCTGCTGTCACTTACTGTCTATTTTATGTTTTAAAAAATATAAATCTGCACATTTTCAGTTCCCTATTATTCCAGAAGAGTGTTGGAGCTACTCCTACCTGCCCAATAACCTAAGTCTATTTACCCTGAGCATGTTTCCTTGACAAGAAATTCATCTTTCCTTTGCAACTAAAGGAATCTTAAGATCATCTAGGCTTAATCATGCTTTTCACACCAAGGGGAGAAGGGAATTTTGTTGCTGCTCTTGGTCCTGGTCAGATCTTTGGAGTGCTGGTGGAAAGCATGTTCTGAGGAAAAGTTGCTTGAATTGCAGCAACACAATTGCTTAGTGCAAAAAATCAGGATTGAAAGAGATTTAATTTCCAAAAGGGGGGGAGCTCATTCTCTGAGCCACAGAGTTTGAGCCAGAAAGAGTTTAAGACACTGCTAAATCCACCAGAACCTCACTGATAAAATCCACTGCAAGCCCAGGCAGAAATCCTGCTCGTGGGGGTGGGAGGGGGATCCACGTTGGAGTCTGGGGGAGATGGAGCTGCAGGAGAGAAAAATCAACTTCCCAAAAAGAAAGGAGATGCCAAAGGGGGGAGCTGGGAAAGTGCTGCTGCCCTGGGAGCAGGAGAGCCTGGCTCACTCCTTCCCATTTCGGGGCAGAAAAGGTGAAAAGGATCATTTTCCCAACAGGGATCTAAAATTTACCAGTCCACTCCTTTAAGTAGTTAAATTTAATTTTTTTTTATTTTAATTTAATCTGTTATTTGCATTCCTGTTTGCATCCCAGAGGGCTCAGAGCAGCCTGGGAGCAACCCAAGATTCTCCTGGGGCTGCTGAGGAGCCTCTCTGCAAACCCAAATTCTGCTTCTCCATCTGCACTGGAGAGCTCAGAACAATCTGAATTAAATGAATGCAGCTCAATTCACCAGGAACGATTTGCTGCCACCTCTGCCCGTGCCCTGAGCACAATCCCCAGGGCTGGGGCACAGCCAGCACTTCAGGGCTGCCCCAAAATCCAGCCCTGGCACATTTTGGGTGCCAGGCTGTGCCCTGTCTTGGCAGCTGCCCCGTGTTTTGGTGGCTGCAGGATCATTTCTGATCAAACTGGCTCCAGAATGGATCAAGGGAAGCTTTGTCACCTTGGCGTGGACAAGCTCTGCCTCCAGGGCCTGTGCCTGGCTCAGCTCTGTGCTGCCATCAAACAGAAATTAGCAGGAATTAATTATCAGGAATTATCAGAAAATGATCAGGAATTAATTATCATAAATTAGCAGGAATTATGAGAAATTATCAGGAATTAATTGTCAGAAATTATCAGAAAATGATCAGGAATGATCAGGAATTACCAGAAAATTATCAGGAATGATCAGGAATTAATTATAATAAATTATCATAAATTATCAGGAATTAATTATCACAAATCATGAGGAATTATGAGAAATTATCAGGACTTAATTATCATAAATTATCATAAATTATCAGGAATGATCAGAAATGATCAGGAATTATCATGACTTAATTATCATAAATTATCAGGAATTAATTGTCAGAAATTATCAGAAAATTATCAGGAATTAATTACCAGAAATTATCAAAAAATGTGGATCAAACCTTGGATTTTGGGGTTTGGATTTCGGATCAAGCCTGGGATTTTGGATCAAACCCTAGGTTGGGGTTTGGATTGGGATCAAACCCTGGATTGGGGTTTGGATTCTGGATCAAACCTTCATTTGGGGTTTGGATTTTGGATCAAACCCTGGATTTGGGTTTGGATTCTGGATCAAACCTGGGATTTTGGATCCAACCTTGGGTTGAGGTTTGGATTTTGGATCAAACCCTGGATTTGGGTTTGGATTCTGGATCAAACCTGGATTTGCGTTTGGATTCTGGATCAAACCTTGGGTTGGGGTTTGGATTTTGGATCAAACCTTGATTTGGGGTTTGGATTTTGGGTCAAACCCTGTTTGAATTTTGGATCAAACCCGGGATTGGGGTTTGGATTTTGGATCAAACCTTGGATTTTGGGGTTTGGATTCTGGATCAAACCCTGGACTGGGGTTTGGATCAAACCCGGGTTGGGGTTTGGATTCTGGATCCAACCCTGGGTTGGGGTCTGGATTCTGGATCAAACCTTGGATTTTGGATCCAACCCTGGATTTGGGATTCTGGATCCAACCCTGGATTTGGGTTTGGATTCTGGATCCAACCCTGGATTTGGGTTTGGATCCTGGATCCAGCCCTGGATTTGGGTTTGGGGTCTGGATTCTGGATCCAGCCCTGGGCTGGGGTCTGGACTCTGGATCCAGCCTTGCCTCTGCCCCAGGAGCAGCACGAGCCCCCCGGTGCCCGAGCAGCATCGCTCTCTGCGCAGCCCAGCGCCATTTCCCTGTATTTTCCCTCCGTGCCAGTGCAGAATTCCCTCCAGCTCCACTGGAAACGCGGCCGGACTCGCAGCCCAGCTCGGAACAGAAGTGCAAGAACAAGGGCAGCAAAACAAGAAGGGAGAGGAGGCCGGGCACAAACACAGCTCCAAGTGACACAGCACGAGCGGCTCGGAGCCGGCAGCTCCGCGGCTCCGTTTGCAGCAGCCATGCAATAGCGTGATTACACTCACGGATGTCTGTGGTACCTTTTCTGTTATTTATTTCTTCTTTAATTATTATTTACTGTTATTTATTCCCCATGGTTTATTTTTCTTCTTGTTGGAGGATTTTAGTGCCCTGCAAAACCCACATCAGCTAAAGAGAACTTGTTCTAAAATGATCTCGTTCTTATCTTTGATTCATCTTTTTTATCATTTATTCCCCATCTTTTCTTCTTTTTTTTGGTAAATTTTAGTGCCCTGCAAAACCCACATCAGCTAAAGAGAACAATTTTTTCCTGATTATTTCTTCCTTATCATTTATTCACCTTTTCTTTCTGTAGGATTTTGAAAACCACATTGACTAAAGAGAACCTTTTTCTTTTATTGGTTTTCTTGTCATTTATTCCCTTTTTTGTTGTTGTTGTTGTAGAATCTTAGTGCCCTGCAAAACCCCATCAACTAAAGATGATTTTTTAAAATTAAGTTTCCCATCATTAATGAATTTTTGTTGTAATAGGATCTCCGTGCCCTGCAAAAACCACATTGACTAAAGAGACCCTTTTTGTTTTATTATTTTTCTTATCATTTATTCCCCTTTTATTTTTGTTGTTGTTGTAGAATTTTAGTGCTCTGCAAGAACCCCATCAACTAAAGATGATTTTAAAAATTATTTTTCCTACCATGAATGAATTTTTGTTGTTGTAGAATCTCCGTGCCCTACAGAACCACATCAACTAAAGATGAGTTTTTTAAAATTATTTTTCCTATCATTAATGAATACTTTTTGTCATAGAACCTTCGTGCCCTGCAAGAACCACATCAACTAAAGAGACCCCTGTTAAAAACTATTTTTCCTGTCATTAATGAATTTTTGTTGTCGTAGAATCTTTGTGCCCTGCAAAACCCCATCACCTAAAGGCAATTTTAAAATTAGTTTTCCCTATCATTAATTTATATTTTTTGTCATAGAATCTCTGTGACCTACAGAACCCCACCACCTAAAGACAATTTTAAAATTATTTTTCCTATCATGAATTTTTGTTGTAGAATCTCCGTGCCCTACAGAACCACACCACCTAAAGGCAATTTTAAAATTATTTTTGCTATCATAAATGATTTTTTGTTGTCGTAGAATCTTCATGCCCTACAGAACCCCATCAATTAAAGATGATTTTTAAAATTATTTTCCCTACCATGAATGAATTTTTGTCATAGAACCTCCGTGCCCTACAGAACCCCACCACCTAAAGGCAATTTTTAAATTATTTTCCCTACCACAAATGAATATTTTTTGTCATAGAATCTCCGTGCCCTACAGAACCCCACAACCTAACAACAACTTTAAAATTATTTTCCCTACCATGAATGAATTTTTGTCATAGAATCTCGTGCCCTACAGAACCCCATCGACTAAAGATGATTTTTAAATTATTTTCCCTATCATTAATGAATATTTGTTGTCACAGAATCTCGTGCCCTACAGAACCCCGTCACCTAATGACAATTTTAAATTATTTTCCCTATCATTAATGAATATTTGTTGTCATAGAATCTCGTGCCCTACAGAACCCCATCGACTAAAGATGATTTTTAAATTATTTTCCCTATCATTAATGAATATTTGCTGTCACAGAATCTCGTGCCCTGCAGACCCCCCCACCCAAGCACAACTTTAACCCTTTCCCTCCCACGCACGACCGTCTGTGTCGCAGCCCCTCGGCGCCCACCGCTGCCCCCCGCGCACGCTGTGTGTGTCCCGCAGCCCAGGCGGGGGGCTCCGCCGCCCTCAGTACTCGCTGAGGCTGTGCCAGCGCGCCAGGGCGCGGCCGGGGCCGTGGCACAGCTGCTGCCAGTGCTCGCTGCCCGCGGCGCTGGCGCTGTGCCTGCCCAGCACCAGCCGGCCCACGGGCTCGTTCTTGGTGCTGCGCTCCAGGTTGATGAGCAGGAACTCCACGCTGAGCTCGGGCAGCAGCTCGGCGGGGATGTCGTAGCTGAAGGACTCGTTGAACACGGGGTTCAGCGTGCATTTCTTCACGTGCGTCTTCTTCTTGGCGATGCGCTTGCGGCCGTAGTAAACGTTCACCTTCACGTAGGGGTCTGCGGGGAGACACGGCCCAGTGACACGGCCCGGGGCACGGGGGTGGGGGGCTACGGGGTTCAGCGTGCATTTCTTCACGTGCGTCTTCTTCTTGGCGATGCGCTTGCGGCCGTAGTAAACGTTCACCTTCACGTAGGGGTCTGCGGGGAGACACGGCCCAGTGACACGGCCCGGGGCACGGGGGTGGGGGGCT